TACTGGTACTCCGGGGGCTAATGAGCTGTAGATGTACAGATGATGATGACTACCATGTAAGTACAAGGTACAAAACAGGTAAATACTCTGTTAGGACTAGATATTGTACTGTTAGGTACTAAACTTAAACAAAAATGTGTCACGTACTGCTACCAAATTAACTATAAATGTCAACAACTGATGATATCAAAGATATGATCTTATCAAAAGCCTGATAATGAACCAAAAAGTGTCTCAGCCTAACCTAAAAGGCAACCACTGGAAAATAAAAGCTTTTTAAACTCGGTTTCTTAGATCAGGCGTTCTACCCACTGACACAGATAAATCTGACCAAGGCTTCATTATCTACATACATCTTCTTCACATCAGATGAAGTTTGACACAGATGAAAGCTCCATAATGAAGCGTGAGTGAGTCAGGATCTGAACTCTTAGTTGTTAAAGAAATCCTCTGCTGGCTTTTCGAGTGTCAGGAGAAACGCCATTTTGTTGCAATCTGAGATTTTGGGAAGAAATCTGAGCCTTGCAGGCTGATGTGAAGCCTCATTTTCCTCCCAACTGTGTTCTCTAAACAGATAAGAGTGTGGGAGTAAAGAATGCTTTGCATTAGAGCACTCTCCCCAAAAACACTACATGATGTTGAAATGGGCATTTGATTATCTGTGAGTGGTAAAAATGAGATAATGAGTGAAAGCAGGGGCACAAAAAGAAAGAACAGGTCACTTTGGTCATTTCAACACAATAATTAACCTAAATTAGTCTTTATCCAGCATTGTTCAACATGTGTTCATTTAGTTAAGACCGCTTTATCTGTATCATTAAAGAGTGTCACATAAACTATCACACATTATGACAAAAAGAACAATATAAACATGTAGAAAGATAAGAATTAAATAATACAGAAGCTCAAAGAAAGAGCTTTTTTTAAAGGGCAACAAGAAGGAGAAGCAGAGGGACAGAGGTCCAAGCTCCATTTTTCCCCCTTTGGGACATTTTATTTTATTTTATTTTATTTGTTTCTTTATTTTTTCTTTATACTTTTGACGGAGTTATTGGGAAGACGCAAAGTTGCGCAGGATTCTAAATTGACATTCATTCATAAAGTCAGGACCCAGCCGAGCTGTGAAGTGCGTCGACTGTAGCGTGAGCTTAGAGTGTTGCAACCATCGGAGCACCAGATTATCTACACGGGACTTTGTCTGCCAGTCCAGGGGTGAACAGTCAACCAGAGGTAAGACAAGTCTGTTGATCCGAACCCTTCACGAAGTACCCAAGAGGTCTGAAGACTGCTCCGGTAAGCCACGCTGAATTCCACGGCAGCTTGTATGCGTGTGTGTGCTCTCTGATTTGAATCATAATCAAGTTAGAATTAACGCAAGTCGTGTTCTTCCCACATAACTTGGTCTCTTTATAATTCACGTCCCTTTTTGATAGATGGATTAACACTTCCTTTTTATCAATCTTTAAGCTTTCATTCATTTTTGCCAGTGTAGAACTAGTTTACAAGTGGATCAGTTGAATAATGCTAGAGGTTATTATGGAGTGATAGCGCCACTTATTATTAAACTGCAAAGTCGTGATAATAATACTGTTACTGTTTGCCCCAAATAATCTTTCTGTATTATTACCTCTGAATCCTTAATACAGGGTATATTATGAAATTTCCATGCTCGTCTGTGCATTTATTTATTTGGTTTGCCCTCTAAACTGAAAGAATTGGCTATTCAGTGTTTGAGATTGACTAAATTTATAAGATTAATTTCCTGTACTTCCAGGTGGTGCTTCGTTATTATGCTAATGAGTTATGAGAAACTTATAATTTAGCAACTGTTCAATAATCAACAACATTTCCCCACACCTTAGTGGCAAAAACACATATAATTACTAACAGCCACAGGACAGTTCCACTGACTGACTTTAGTTCTTTAAACTATTTATTAACAAAATCTAAAGTTTTAGCAGCCAAAAGGTTGCCAGATGGAAAACACCATTACTGTAAGCAAACACAGACTTGAATAAGAACACTACCTATCCTGTCCACTGGTAGTGTCTGTGACAGCATGGAGGAGCAGAAACAGACCAAACGGAGCAACGGCTCACATCCACTATAGAAACTAATAGATAAACAGCAGCTGAACCAGATCTGTTTCACAGATTATCTGTCATTTTTTTTTACAATAAATTAATAATTATGTTAATTTCATTCAACAATCATGTAAAACAGCAGATTTATACCMGAAAAATATATAATTTATAAGTAACAATGATCTAAACCAGACCTGAAGTCAGCTTGTAACTTAGACTTTAGCTCAGGGGTGCCCAACCTTTTTTTGAACAAAGAGCTACTTTTGAAGTCGGCAGTTTGCCGAGAGCTACTCGTCCAGTCTCCGCATCAAAAAAACATAATTTTTCGTCTCCCTACTCCTCACTTCTTTAAAGTAAATAAAACAGAATGTAATGTGTTGCTAGTTTTATTTAATTTTAAATATTGTCAAACAAAATTATCTACTTAACCATATATTGACCTACAAAAAAAGAAAAGATAATATCCTTACTTAACTCCTGACATAGAAACATACAAGTGATGCTTGAACAAAAAGGATCAATTTTTTTACCTCCTTCAATTAGTACTCCCTGTAACGTGCGAGCTATGAGGGCTGGAAACATGCCCAGTGAGAACCACAGACTTAAATGACTTTGGAGCACGGGAACCCGTCTCCATTTATTCAAAGAACTCTCCTCTCTTTCTCTCCATACAGGGGAGGAAAAACAAAACAAAAATCTATCAGGGTCAACATGGCTAACACAAGAGTACTGCCCTTTTTTTTTCCAAAATCAAAGCACACAATATAAAAACTCTCTCACAGGCGGCTATAAAACCCAGTGCTGAGCTTCCAGGACCGTTTCACCTGATCAGATCTGTTCCTTTTATTGCCTTGAACAGATCCATCAGGTGGGTTTCTGAATTTTATGCATTTTTGCAGAAATATCGCCCGCCAGGGGTTTCTGGCTAAATCCAGGTGGGAGAGTGGGTGCTGGATGCATGACTGCGGTTCCACCTCACTGGATCTCTTCCTTTTATTCCCTTGCATCAGCACAAGCAACCCTGTGCTGGAAATCAGCCGTTTCACCTGCCGGAGCTCGCCCGATGACTTTTGATCATTTATATCTCCGCAGGGGGAACGTCTCAGGAAATTGCAACCACCTCCAGGTTGTAGCGGAGATCCAGAACTTTAAAACGAACCATCTCTTGCCTGGATCCGATGCTCAGAGTCAGCTCTAGAGGCTCTGGAGTAAATTGAGTACTATTTCGCCCGCCAAAGCGCTTTTGTCGGTTGGTCGTTGGTTAATAGCTCCGCGGGAGAACGTCCAGAAACTTGCTGCAACCACCTCCAGTTTGTAGAGGAGGACCGTAGCTTTCCAATGTCATCTCACTTTCCCGGATCCGATGCTCAGAGCCCGCAGAAGCAAACGAAGGTTGAAATTTCCTCCCAAAAATGCGCGTAAAATGCACTAAGTCGTGCGTAATTTGGTTATAGCTCCGCGGATAGGACCAGGACGAGGATTCGTCCTTTTTGTCACAGAGACTCCATTCAAGTATCAGCTTGTAGGACAGAACCAGAGCTTTAAAACCCGACCAGCTCCGCCGGGTTCTGATGCTACTAGCCCAGGAGGGGGGGGGGGCTAAAACCACCCCAGCAGGAGGTCCGACGTTGCGAATTTTGGAGGTTTTTTGCTTATTGCTCCACGGGGTAAAGTCGCAGGGACTTCATTCAACTTTCAGCTTGTAGGGCAGAACCAGAGCTTTCAAACAAGACCAGTCACTCTGGGATGTGATGCTCAAAGCCGGCGATAGAGGCTCCGCAGCAAGGTGGCACTGCGCGGGCACCTGGGAATCAGCTGGCGGGCAACCAGCCGCCCGCGAGCGACTGGTTGGCACCCCTGCTTTAGCTAGTTGAAAAATGATGACTTCAGCTAGTAATAAAGTATATTTAT